TGGCACAGGGTCAGACAGCCCATCTGCTCTCTGCTATCTCACCCAGCTCACCTACTGAGTACATCAAGTGGAAGTTGCCAGGATTTTATGTCCCACTGTATCCTGGCTCCCACTAGTAGAAACAACACTCAGAAACTTTGCATGATTATTGCCAAAGGCTTTATTCAAAAAGTTGCTATGATGCCCAGAAATATATCAGGTTGCAAGGTACACAGGCCAATAGTTAGATCAGAGCTCTAAGGCTCATGGCTAGACATAAGGTAAGATGTGACATGAGCTTCCCTTTTGAAGAGTGGTGTGGACACATGGTTGGAGTCCCGAGACTCCGGACTGGGTAAGCTAGCAGGCACTTCTGCGGACGGGTTGGGTCTGCTTGTACTGGCACAGCCATCAATGTATCCTTGCAGATGGAGACAAAGATGCCGTGGTCAGCTCACTATCTGATCCAGCCTCAGCCTCCGCCCCCCAAGACAGGAAGTACCTCACTGAAGAGAGGCAGCACTGGAATCAGGTAGGGATATCCCATGGTACAGAGGTGGAACTTTCTCTACGTCATATGTATGCAATGTCATGTTGTACAGAGTGGAAACCCAGCTCCCTCAACTGCCATGACCTGCACAGAAAAGAGGAGGAGGGAAGCATACAGAGAGAGACAAGGAAACAAGTACACTTGGACCCAGAGATATGCTACCTGTATCCCCCTGTCTGCCATACTGGCCAAAAACCTGATAAAACACGATACAGGTAATCAGGTGTGTTGGGTAAACTGCCTTTGTTGAGACCAGGCAAAACCCCAATCCATTGTCAGAAGTCTGCTGGGGAGGAAAGGCTTTGTTTGACAGAAGTTAATGGGGACAAATCTGCTTGAATTAACATCCACGTTTGTGCAATGATCAGACTCAAGATCTGGTAACAATACTTTGATTGTTAAAGTTACATGATCTGTGTGACACACACAGTGTAAAGTAGGTCTTCATCAGAGCTTTCTTATGGTTCTCTTTTCAGTTAAGTTCATGCTTTTCTTATGTGAAGCTTATTTGATACAGAAAGTGAAGCCATGATAAGTTACTTTAAAGGCTTGATCATTGACAGTGCTTTATATTTAATTACGGCTTTGATTCTTGTTAGAAAATAGCTATAAGGCATTGTATTGTTTACAGTCACCTCTGTCTCATTAACAGCAGGAAAACTTTCATTGAGAGTGTCCCCCCCCCCACCTTGCTAAACTGTTAAATGTTGCTGCTTCACATGGTTCCTAAAACCTTTTGGATTTTGTGACACCTGATAGCTAAATTCTTTCTACCGTCAGTCACCAAGATGCTATCAAATGTAGTGCTGAAACTCAGGTGCTCATAATTTGATGTGCAGGAAAACTCCACCGTTTGTTGTGAACCTGGTATATTCCATTGCCATTTGCTCTTGTTAGTGGTTGTTTCACTCTCTTTTATACCATTCACTTCTTAGCATCCCTCTGTCTTGAGAGATGATGGAGTGCACCTCCGGGGATGAAGTCAAACCACTGTGATTGCAGCACCAAAGTCACTTGCCTGGAGCATAAGCCTGGGCAGTGTGTATGGAGTTCCTGGGATGCTCAGCCTCATTGAGGTGGTCCAAAGAAAAGCAGTGCAATATGTTTGGCACCAGCTTGAATGCTGGAGCTGCCAGAAGGAGGCGTATAAAGCACTATCCAACTGCCATAGAGTCTCTACCCTGGATTTGTGTAGAGTAGGCTTCCTCAAACTCAGCCCTCCAAATGTTTTTGGCCTTCAACTCCCATGATCCCTAGCTAGCAGGACCAGTGGTCAGGGATGGTGGGAATTGTAATCTCAAAACATCTGGAGGGCTGAGTTTGAGGAAGCCAGGTGTAGGGTTTACTCCTGAGCCTTTTCCTTTCCCAAAGATATCTTGTAAGGCAGCGGGAGTTTCGGATCATAATTTCCCTTCTCGTAGATGGGCTACCTGGTCAGGTTGATGAGCCTCATCTGCCCCTCACTTCCCTCTGAAGTACATGCAAAAACCACCCTCCTGAGCATTGGATCCACTATTGGTCTCATCCACTCAATCCTCTGGAGCCTGTCTTCACATGCTGGGCAAATCTCTAACTCATCAAGGTTTTGAGACAAATTGGCTTCCTTCCTGGTAGGTATAAGTTACCCATGACTCACTACCATAAAGCAGCAGGCTCAGCATCCTGGTATACCTTCATCTTGGTATTGGTCATTAGCATCACAATCTCCCAGACCCTTTTGGAGAGGCAAGCCATTTCTGTAGCTTATTTTTCTGCAGTTGGGACACATTTGTAACAAATGTGTCATTCTGTTTTGACCTGACTCATTGCTAATTCTTTGTAGAAAACATATATATGTGGGTTTAAATTAAGTTGAAAATTTCTTTGAAAATTAGTATGGTGCTTGTAGTTTGCTCCTAGTTCTTTTCATCAAATATTAAAAAATTAATCTTCTTAATCTTGTCTACTCCAAATTCCCCCCTCGAAACATGAGCAAGAAATAGTATTAGTGGGAAGAAAAGAGTTGAAAAACAAAAAAACCTGTTTCCACCTTTAATGCAGCTGCCATTTATTCAGTGCTCACCCGCCTCTAATTAAGGATAATTCCAGCATTTTTGAGATCAAAGTCGTGAAGGCTGGTTAATCAGTTTTAAAAGTTCTGATTTGTACCTTGCTTAACTCTACCACCATCTGGGGTGGAACTTAGCACTTAGAGATCTTACTAATGTTAGTCGTAAAGAACACAAATTATCTCTATACTTATTGAGACATTTCCCATTTAAATGGGTAACATTAAGCTTTAGCTCCAATTTTCATTAATACTGTACATGACCTGGTTACACATTTATACATTGGGGAAGGAGAGCTAAATTACTGTAAAATTCCACCAAATACTGTAAAGTGAGCTCTGGGGCTAGAAGGGTAGGGTGTTCGCAGAAAATGTGTTTGCTCTGAAATACTCGTGAATCATTCACACACTTTTTACAAAGCATCTACATGACATCATCAGCATATAGTCCATGTACCATGTTTTTCTCATGCTGCTTCTATTTCTCAACACTTTGAGAAAAGAGGGAGTAGCAACACAATCACCACACTTCCACTTTTTTAAAAAAGAGATGTGTTTTAAGTTTTATGAAGCCGACTTCATAAAACTTAGGGAAGTGCTGGGTGAGATCCCATGGACAGTAATACTAAAAGGAAAGGGAGTTCATGATGGCTGGGAGTTTTTAAGAGGGAGATAGTAAAAGCACAACTTCAGGCAATACCAATGAGACGGAAACATGGAAGGTGCCTAAAGAAGCCAGGGTGGCTATCTAAAGAACTTTTAACTGAGTTAAGATTAAAAAGGATGTGTACAAAAATGGAAAAGGGGAAACCACCAAAGAGGAATTCAAACAAATAGCCAGCACGTGTAGACATAAAGTCAGAAAAACTAAAGCACAGAATGAACTCAGGCTTGCTAGAGAGGTTAAAAGCAACAAAAAAGGCTTTTATGGGTATGTTCGTAGCAAAAGGAAGAACAAAGAAACAGTGGGGTCACTCAGAGGAGAAGATGGTGAAATGCAAACAGGGGACACAGAAAGGGCTGAACTCCTCAATGCCTTCTTTGCCTCAGTCTTCTCCAATAAAGAAAACAATGCCCGACCTGAAGAATTTGGAGCAAATGATTCAGCAGAGGAAACACAGCCCAGAATAACTAAGGAGATAGTACAAGAATACTTGGCTAGTTTAGATGTATTCAAGTCTCCAGGGCCAAATGAACTGCATCCAAGAGTATTAAAAGAACTGGCAGATGTGATCTCAGAACCACTGGCAGTCATCTTTGAGAATTCCTGGAGAACAGGCGAAGTCCCGGCAGACTGGAGGAGGGCAAATGTTGTCCCTATTTTCAAAAAGGGGGAAAGAGAGGACCCAAATAATTATCGTCCAGTCAGTCTGACATCAATACCAGGGAAGATTCTGGAGCAGATCATTAAGCAAACAGTCTGTGAGCACCTAGAAAGGAATGCTGTGATCACCAATAGTCAGCATGCATTTCTGAAAAATAAGTCATGTCAGACTAACCTGATCTCATTTTTTGACAGAATTACAAGCCTGGTAGATGAAGGGAACACAGTGGATGTAGCCTACCTTGATTTCAGCAAGGCATTTGACAAGGTGCCCCATGATATTCTTGTAAAGAAGCTGGTAAAATGCGGTCTTGACTATGCTACCACTCAGTGGATTTGTAACTGGCTGACTGAGCAGAACCCAAAGGGTGCTCATCAATGGTTCCTCTTCATCCTGGAGAAGAGTGACTAGTGGGGTGCCACAGGGTTGTGTCTTGGGCCCGGTCTTATTCAACATCTTTATCAACGACTTGGATGATGGACTCAAGGGCATCCTGATCAAATTTGCAGATGACACCAAACTGGGAGGGGTGGCTAACACCCCAGAGGACAGGATCACACTTCAAAACGACCTTGACAGATTAGAGAACTGGGCCAAAACAAACAAGATGAATTTTAACAGGGAGAAATGTAAAGTATTGCACTTGGGCAAAAAAAATGAGAGGCACAAATACAAGATGGGGACACCTGGCTTGAGAGCAGTACATGTGAAAAGGATCTAGGAGTCTTGCTTGACCACAAACTTGACATGAGCCAACAGTGTGACGCGGCAGCTAAAAAAGCCAATGCAATTCTGGGCTGCATCAATAGGAGTATAGCATCTAGATCAAGGGAAGTAATAGTGCCACTGTATTCTGCTCTGGTCAGACCTCACCTGGAGTACTGTGTCCAGTTCTGGGCACCGCAGTTCAAGAAGTACACTGACAAACTGGAACGTGTCCAGAGGAGGGCAACCAAAATGGTCAAAGGCCTGGAAATGATGCCTTATGAGGAACGGCTAAGGGACCTGGGCATGTTTAGCCTGGAGAAGAGGAGGTTAAGGGGTGATATGATAGCCATGTTCAAATATATAAAAGGATGTCACATAGAGGAGGGAGAAAGGTTGTTTTCTGCTGCTCCAGAGAAGCGGACACGGAGCAATGGATCCAAACTACAAGAAAGAAGATTCCACCTAAACATTAGGAAGAACTTCCTGACAGTAAGAGCTGTTCGACAGTGGAATTTGCTGCCAGGGAGTGTGGTGGAGTCTCCTTCTTTGGAGGTCTTTAAGCAGAGGCTTGACAACCATATGTCAGGAGTGCTCTGATGGTGTTTCCTGCTTGGCAGGGGGTTGGACTCGATGGCCCTTGTGGTCTCTTCCAACTCTATGATTCTATGATTCTAGGTTGTGCTGTGGCACCTGTGGGAGTGGGGAGGGAGAGGTAGAGCTGTATCACTCTCTCAGCAGAAGTATAGGTAGACCTAGAGTGTCAGCTTCAGGGTCCCTTTTGAAGAACTGTTCACAGTACATTGACTTGTTTTTACATCCCTTCACAAAAGAAACTCCTTCTTACATTAGGGATACTAAACATATTATAACCCTCATCGAAAATTTGAATGTCACTGAACATGGTATAACTGCGACACAGGATGTTTCGTCTTTATATACTAACGCACCTTTGGATATAGTTAAATCACAAATTCAAGAACTGCTGGTTGATCATAGCCAATCATCTCCACCAGTGCATTTTTTAATGGAGATTTTAGATTTGGTTCTATCTAACAATTTTTTCAGGTTTGGTTCGAAGTATTTCATTCAGAAACAAGGTATAGCCATGGGCTCCAAATGTGCTCCTAGTATAGCCAATATTTTTATGAGGAATTTTGATTTAGAACACATTGTTCATAAGAATCCATATAGTGAGTACATTTTGTTTTACGGCCGATACATAGATGATCTGATATTTGTATTTTCTGAGGATATTTTTGAATCGTTTAACCGTTGGATAAATAGTTTAAGTCCATATTTGACCTTTGAAGGAACATCGAGTTCACACTCCCTACCTTTTTTAGACCTAGAAATTTATGTGGATCAATCTGGAATTAAAGTTCATCCTTATAAGAAAAGTACAGATAGAAACTCTTTTTTACATTATAGTTCAAATCATCCCAAACACCTCCGTGACAATCTTCCTCTAGGTCAATTCCTAAGATTAAAATGAAATTCATCGGACCCACAGGACTTTAAAGCTCATTCAAAAATATTTTCTGCATCTTTGTTAAAACGAGGCTACCCAAATTCTGTAATAACAACTGCCATTCAAAAAACACAATTGAGAGAGAGGTTGACCCTTCTAACATCCTGTTCACATGTCAACACAAGATCCATGCATATTTATGCCTCCTAGAATATAACCATATAACTTTTGAAATTGAGAAAATTATCAGGTGACATTTGCATATTCTTAAGGACATCCCTGGATGTGATATGAGTCCCCTTTTCACCAAACATCGCATAAAATCATTAAAAGATATATTGGTGCACACAGATTTAAAACCTACACCCACACAACGTACTTTATCTAATCCTCCACGTGGTTTTTTTAGATGTGGTAACTGTACCTCCTGTAAATACGCACTGCAGGTAAAAGAATTTACCAACAAAGAAGGTTTTAAGTTTGTTTACAGGCATTTGCTACATGTGCTACTCCATGTGTAATTTAAGTGATTAGATGTCCCTGTGGATTGTTATATGTAGGTCACATTCTTAGACCTATTAAAGTAAGAATATCAGAGCACTGAACAAGGATGTTGTATTTTAATCTTGTTTTTTAAGTTGTATTTCAATCAACTTGTTTTTATTATTGGTTGTTAGCCACCCTGAGCCCGGTCTTGGCTGAGGAGGATGGGGTATAAATAAAATTTATTATTATTAGTAAGGATTAGGAACAATGTAATAGACGCTCCTTTAGTACAACATTTTATTCAAGCGTCTCATTCGGATGAAGACATGACATTTTTCATAATTTGGGTATATCTTGGTCCCGTAGAACGAACTAAAAAAATTCTTATGCAGAAAGAAACTAGATTTATTTTTCTACTTGACTCCTTGCATCCCTCAGGTTTGAATACTGAAATTGATTATAGTTGCTTTTTATGAGTTATTACTAATATTTGTATGTATAACACCTGTGTATGGATAAAGTTTGTTTTACATCTGTTGTGTTAAAAAGGGTCACTTTAAGAAGGAAACCTTGCAACTGTAGATTGCTGTCACCTGTAACTAAAATCAATACTGTGCCTGTCTATATAACCTTACATTGTAACAGTTGTTCACTGCAGAAACCACCATGTCATATGTTCCATTATCTTGATATACTACATACGGTATGTACACCTATGGTACAATTGTTTATATTATTCTTATTTGTTAAAATATGTTGAAATACAATATTATACTTATTCATATTATTTAGAACATGTACAACTGATGAAGTCCAGGAGGGCGAAACAAGGCATTATTCCGGAAATCCTTGTCAAGATTCTGTGGAACTGTAGTAAGCTTCCATTTGGATTTTATGAACATACAAAGACATATGTGGAACAGAAACTAGCAGATATTTGGACTCTATTAATGAACTGATCTATTGGGACTTCTGTTTACACTGTTGTACTTTATGTGTTGATTATGTGCAAGAGAAGTATTTGATACTGTGATAAAAATACAGAAGAGAATTGTTTATGTGAATGCACAGCCAGTTACGTTTTGTGTGTTTGTTGAATGTGTTTTATGTAACTCTAGGTTTGATGTTGTTTTGAGTCAAGATTCCTGCATTGCAGGGAGCTGGACTAGATGACCATCAGAGTCCATTCTAACTCTATGATTCTATGCTTCCACCTCTCTGCCTTCCTACCTGAGATTAACTTTGCCATTTCCTTTCCAGTTACATCATTGCAAGACATTTGCAGAAAGCAACAATCCAGCTAGGCTGGGAACATGGAGTTGAACAGAGAGTGGGTTCATTCAGCCTCTATAATTCGCATGTCCATTTCTGGAAAGACTTGCAGGTACAAACCTTATAGCTGGCTGCCATGGACAGCAGTTTGGAGAGTCAAGGGAGCTATTGTTTCAGAACTAGCCTGGCTCAGACTGAGAGCTTATATAAGAGTGGAGACTCTGCTCCTTCCTGACTCTCAGCCATTCCCTGATTCCATTAGGTGAGCACACAAACTTCTCCTCTCAAGTAATATCATATTAAAGGTAGCCTCATGTGGCCAGTCACTTGTTGTTGTTTAGTCATTTAGTCGTGTCCGACTCTTCGTGACCCCATGGACCAGAGCACGCCAGGCACTTCTGTCTTCCACTGCCTCCCGCAGTTTGATCAGACTCATGTTTATAGCTTCGAGGACACTGTCCAACCATCTTGTCCTCTGTCGTCCCCTTCTCCTTGTGCCCTCCATCTTTCCCAACATCAGGGTCTTTTCTAGGGAGTCTTTTCTTCTCATGAGGTGGCCAAAGTATTGGAGCCTCAGCTTCACGATCTGTCCTTCCAGTGAGCACTCAGGGCTAATTTCCTTATGAATGGATGCGTTTGATCTTCTTGCAGTCCATGGGACTCTCAGTAGTTCATTGAAAAAAGCATGTCCCTTGTTGAAGGGTAATTATCTATTGAGATTTTTTTTTTAATGAAGTGACTCCAAGTGTTAATTTCTTACTAAAGATGTCATCCCACCTGGTACACTTATGTTGTCAAAACTCTTTGCTCAAACTTTTCTAGTTCCATTTTCATTACCCTACTGTAAAGTATGAACAGGTTCCTTCCCCCTCCTTTTTTTCTTTATAGTGAAAGTTTTAGGAAGTTTATATAAATTAATAAAATCCTGGGCTCTATGAAGCCAATCTAGCTTTGAACATGCTTTTATTGATCTTTCAGGTAAATCTACTGTGAAAGTTATGAGCCAAGCCCAGCACACTGACTTCAAACAGAATTGGAGGTACCTGTAGAGAGTTACCCTGGCAGACAAGCTTTCACTAAAGCCGGCAGAGCAGAGGTGAGAATAAGAAAAAAAAAGTTTAATTAACATTTCACATGTACTGCAGGTTGAGTGATTTAAGATAGCTTAAACTATCCCTATTGTACAAACAGAAGGATGTCTTTTTTTCTGGGATAGAGAAACTAACCTTTAATGGCTGGTTGTATTTTCTGTGCATTGAACAAATCAACCAAACAAGTAACTAAAAATGCCAGTGATTCAGCAACTGTAATAAGTTACAACTTAGACATAAATGCAGCATAAGTTGCATGTTTTCAGTTTAAGAATGAGTGCTAGGGGCTCGTGCATGCCAAATGCTTACCTTGGCTTTATACTTGCTTGATTGTCATGGTTTCTACAGAGAATCCTGGGAATTATAGCTGACAGCCATGACACAGGTTGACAACTTTCTGTTCTTGATGCCCAGTGCCCCTCCCATCACAGATCTACAGTTTCAGGATTCTTTGGCAAGAGCAAGTAACTATTAATCCAGTTTAAGTCTGATAGGGTAGAGTCCTTCAGAATGTACCGCTACACCACGGTTTCCTACACTGAAGCTGTTCAAGGCAGTTCACAAGTACAAAGCATAAAACACAAAATCATAAAGAGCAACAATAAATGCACAAAAAGCAGCAGTGAAAACACATCACGAAAGTCAAATTTAGAAAACACCAGTAGGTGTAAACTAATCTAAGGTTACCAGATTTTTTTCCAAGGAATCCGGGGACACTTTTTTTTTTGAAAAGAGAAAAAAAAGGTATTTAAAAAAAAGGTACTTAAGAAATAATATCTTCTCTTCTGTGGTCTCCTCTATTGCGCTGCCTTCCTCTGGGTCCCAGCCTGCTCTCTTGGAGCGCTAGGCGCTGTGGAGTAGGCTCGGGTCGGGCCTGGGCTCGGCCACATGTCCTTGCCCTCCTAGTGCTCTCCTACCTTTCCTCAGCAGCAGTGGTGGCGGCGGCGCGGCAAGATTGGGGCTCCCCTCTTTTTTCTCTTTCCTCTTTCTCTCTCTTCCTTCTCCTTCTCCTCTCCTACTTCTCCCTGCATTAGCTCCGGGGTTTTCCTGGCCCCGGAGCACCACTGGGCAGTCAGCCTGGTGGCCGGGTGCTCTCTCTCCCAGCTTGATTTGGGTCGCGGGGTGTGTGTGTGTCAGCGGTTCCCCCAGTTGACACGCCAGGCGTCCCCAGTTCCCCCTCGGCAGTGGCACCCGCCATTTTGCCTCACCGGAAGCCCCCATATGATGTGTCTTTTGCCGTTGAACCAATCACGCAACATTCATTCCCTACTAATAAATCTTCAGCACTTAAAATATAAATCTGGGGGCATTAAATGAAATCCGGGGACATTCCGGGGACAGATTTGTA